TGTATTTTCAACACAATTTCATCAATGCAATGCAATACGCTCTTGACAGTCTACTAAATAAAATGTTTTCCAGTCTCTTATCTTATGAATATTAATAAATGTTATTTTTTTCTTTATATTAATAAAATAATACAGTTCAATGCAAATAACCTTGGGATCTTACACTAAAAATATATACATTTCATGACTGTTGCATGCAATGAATGAGTCTTAATTATTCACCTTGGATCCGTGAAAGTAAAATGTTTAAGGTCGAGGGGTTGAAAGATACTTACAAATAATAATAATTAAGAAGTTGGACTTTTTAATAAATTTGACAACTTGAAGTTGGATTCTCGATGAGCCAATTCAAACTGAAAGGTCTAACGTGCAGAAGAAATTACCATCTTGTAACAGATCACCGACTGAAGCCAGCTTAGCTCACCAAATAATTATAGTATTAGCTAAAATGCGTCGAAATTTCTTCAGCTGGAATTGTTTAAACTTACCAAACATCACACGTTGACTTGAGTAAATTTACGCTGTTCAACATAATTTTGCATGTTCAGAGTTGCGTAGAGTTTTGAACCATGACAATTTCTTCGATTGACCTACAACGAAGGCGCTTAAATACATTTTAGCCTATTTATTAGTTAAAACTCTTAATTTCCATACACTGAAATGAGCTCTATAAAGATAAAGGAATCACATACATGTTTCACAAACGCCGATCAAGAGAGCTGACAATTTTGAGATTACATTTCATTAATCTTTAGGGGAGAAAGTTACATAAAATCAAATATATCAATCGTCTAAAGGATACCAAATTGCATTCAACAACACTATAACTTTAGACAGCAAGACCGAGCGACTACCTCCGAAAAAATACCAAGAAAGCACCTCAAGTACCCAACATGACACGACTCTCATCGCCTTGAGAGGCAAAATTTGACTTTCACATTCATACAGGAATATTTTGTACTAATGTACATAAACCACCTAGGTAAAAAAAAGGTAGAAAGAAATGAAGCCACTGAATCGACTTCAAACTTAAGCCAAAAAGTGGTCCAGATGCTCCAACCATACCTCATTCGAAGGAATGAAACGTTAAAACTGCACCAGTAATTATGGAAGGCTGGGGAAAACGAACGGTTTTGTGCATCACCTTAATGACCCCTGATCATTGAGCTTCACAATTCACGAGGAAAATTATTGACTTGTCCTTCCTCTAGTGTATCCTTGCCATTTATCTTGTACGCTATCCTTGTACGCATGACAAGCGATTTCTGAAAAAAAGAATAATTGCTAGCAATCAAGTCTTCACTAAGAAGCACTTACATGTATAAATTATTTGGGAAAATAATATCAGCAAGTGTAAACCATAATCATACTCACAAAGCACAAACAGAGAAAAGGAGGGGATGGAGGAGTCTAAATCATTATAAGGTGGAGTGGCCAACCCCAAAAATGGTATGGCAGATAGAAAATTGCGGTATAGCCACCATTGACATATTAAAGTACAACTAACAACATAATCGCTTATGCTACATAATTGCACAACAGTTAAAACTAATTCAATATATTAATTATTATTAATAACTGAAAGTAAGTCCAGATAATGTACACGAGTAAGGGTCGTCATATCCACACTCGCAAGGCACAAACATAAAAGGAGGGTTTGGGGAATCCATGGTTGTAAATCCCAGATAAAGCCATGGAGTGCAAACCCCAAAATTGGCTAATAGCAGGATAGGAACAATGACAGATTACAGTACAACTCAAGATAAATCAATTAGGATACATAATTGAACACCAGAAGAAAAGAAAAAAGAAAAAAAAAAAAACTAACCCAATATTATTAATAACCTAAAGTATGTCCAGACGATAAACAACAAAGAAAATGTGATTTACTGTATAATGCCTACTGAAAGTTCCAGTGCTTGTGCAATGTGAAGTAAACTAATTATATTGGAGTTCAATCCTACACACTATCCTGGTTGACTTTGATGACCAATCTGAACAGTAGTGATCAATCAACAACCCACATGCTCAAATTATAAGCATTTTTGCAGCATGTAATATCAAATATTAACATAAAGCATAAACTAGCAGTTTTGTAGCAACATGTCAGTGATCAACATTTCGTTTAGAATTTAAGCCATAAAAAGGCACAGATAATTACGGCAAAGCAATAACAAAGGAAAAAAAAGACCATCTACCTTCCCATGTTGGCTGTTAGTAATTTTCAAATTTTGGGTTATATTTCCAGCTGCGGGAAGAGTATTACTGGTAGCTGGATCTAAGTGCAATTGAAGAAACTGAAAGTCAACAACAAAATACGTAAGTACTAGATGATGGAAGGTAACCAAGCACCATTATCAAATATTGAAGAATAAATGTAATTATTTACCACTCAATAGCTCAGATAACTAATAAAAATTATCGAGCTATTGACCGCTGCAAACACTTTTATTGCTATAATCCATCTATTGAGAGAAACAAACAACAGGCATGGGACTTCAAATTTCCATTTAAACAATGAAGATCATGATATTGCTTGTTGGAAATTGGAGCATTGAATGTTTGTAATTGTTAGATGTTCCGCATTCAGTTTATCATATTTCTGTTATTAAAGCTAATAGATGTAACATGCTTAAGCCCATCTCTTTATATTTTCTTATTTATAAATACATAACCCTATGTGTTCCATATACATTAGGGATTCAACCCATGTCTCTTTCTCTTTTATTTCAACAATTATCTTTACAAAGTACATCAATCAGTGTTTAGAATAGTTCAATGGTCCTAAGAAAGTTGTGAATGTTTTAATTGTTCTCTTGAAAATAGTTTTTGTTATTTATTATCTTTGTAATAATTATTATAAAATAAATCAATTTACTTAGTGGAATAGGCACTTCACAAAATTTCCTTTCTCATTTTCTCACATGGTTTCTGCTAGTTATATGGATATTTTGGGTTTGGACTTGGACCTATCCCTATGCGACACCTTGCATGATATATGTATAAATGTTCCTCCGTTGTGCTCATACACACTAGAGGATTCTATTACATGAATGCATATAATTTCTCTATTGTATTAGAGTTTATCCTAATAAAGTTTGTTGAACCTATTGTGTCACTCATTATCAAGTTTCTATCAAACTACCCACAAATATCTAATCTCAAGCTTGAGATATTCAATCCTCAACATGAAAGAATATGTTACAGATCCCACATCAATATGTGTGCACACACACACACACACACACACACACATATATATATATATATATAAATCAAACTACCCACAAATATCTAATCTCAAACTTGGAGATATTCAATCCTCAACATGAAAGAATATGTTAGAAATCCCACATCAATATATATATGTGTGTGTGTGTATAAAGTGGGTACAAACCTCACATTGCAAGTTAATTTCATAAGGTTGATTCAGACCTAAATCTACTTTCTAAGATGGTATCAAGTTTTTATTTGAATCCATGCCCTCCCAATGGACCCACTGTTCATTGGTGCTAATTTTTTCTCCAAAAAATGCATCACTCCAATTTTTAGCTACTCGTATTTCTGCTGTGCATTTTTTTTCCAACTAGTTTTCACTCTTCCATATGTTGCTACCGCCACATTAGCTTGGTTATCACAAATGAAAGTCATTTGTATAGCTTCCCAAATCTTAGTTCTTTAAACAATTGTTTGAGGTAAACAAACTCACAAGAGGTAAAAGTCATTGCTTTGTTACAGAAGTTCTTGCCACCACACTATGCTTTCTTGAAGGACTGGAGTTTGGGACTAATGATTGGCAAAGGATGTAAGTCCCACTGTCTCTATCAGTTTCAGACATCTACTCTTGTTGGCTTGGGGTGGCACCCTTCTCTCATCCAATCCATGTTCAATTAGGTCATTCTAGCCTTGCAAGCTGCAACACCTTGTACTACGTCTATCTAAGTTGTCCATCTTGTTGTGTGAGTTGTGTCAAATAAGAAAACATAGCCGTAGTTCTATATCCAGGAGTGTCCCCAAAAATTTTTTTATCACCTTTTTTGATTTAGTAAGCTTGGATATTTGGCACCTTAGACACACTTCAAGATTTCAATATTATGTAACTTTCATTGATGACTATGTTGTACTTGGTTGTTCTTAATGAAGTTGAGTTGTTTTCCATATTTCAATCCTTTTATAATGAAGTTAAAAATTAGTTTAGTGTTTGTATTTGAACTTTATACAGTGATAATGCCTGTGATTATCACATTCTTCTCAGACATTCATGACTTCCCATGATATTATTCGTTAAACTCATGTACATACACACCCCTCAACAAAATGGGGTGGTAGAGCACAATAATAGATTCCTTAATGAAACAACTTAAACTCTTTTACTTCATGATTCTGTTTCTTCACGATTTTGGGATGATATGATTTTAATGGCATGCTATCTCATCAATCAATTGTCATTCAATATTCTCAACAAGCAAGTTCTTCACTAATTTTGTTTCTCCACTCATTAACTCCTCATGTCTTCAGGTCCACCTGTTTTGTTCACAATCCCAGTCCTTTACTTGATAAATTGTTAACTAGGTCTCATAAGTATCTTCTTAGGTTACCCTTAGTCTCAAAAAAGGATATAAATGTTTCTCACCCTCCCTTTGTTGCTATTTGATTTTAGCTTATGTCAGCTTCAATTAAGAATGTTTCAATTAAGCCATTAAGAGGGTATAATTCATGAACATCTAGTCAAAACATCTCAACAAAAATAATATTGTAGAAAGAAAACTCGACATCTCCTAGACTAAACTAGTGACCTATTGTTCCAAAAAAAATTGGGCTAATTAGGTTACCCTCTAGAATCTTGGGGTTCAAGAGTCCTATGGATATCATTTCTTCTTTCTATCCTAGTTTTTCCACTAATAATAAACTTTACACCAGTGGTCTTCGAGTGTGTCTCATTTGTTCAAGTTCATAGTCATGGTAGGAAAAAATTCAATCCTTGAGTCCTAAAATGTGTTTTTGTTGGCTACTCCTTTACTCAGAGATATAATATAAGAGTTACCATCTTCCTCCTAGAAAGTTGTTTCTCCGTTTATAAAGATCTTAAGGTTTTTCCAAACAATCTTATCTTCAGGGGGAGAATATGCAACAAGATAAGGAAGCTTAATTTGAAACTCTCATTCTTCCTAGCCTTGAGTTTAGCATTCTAGTGGTTGAGTAAAAATTATATCTTTTCCTTCCTGATAACTAAAAAAGATACTAAAGTTAATGAAGGAAGACTAAAAGTCACTCTATTGACACATGTTCAAGAGCTCAATTCAATTCCTTCACATCAAGTAACAAATTCTGAACTTCCTATTTTAATAATTATAATATTCTTAACTTCCACGATAATGATAAAAATGGCACTAAAGCCCAATCAATTGACAAGATCTATATCTTTCAATTGCCTTCAAAAAAGGAACTAGAAAATGCAATGAAAAGCCATTCTATTCTCTCTTAAATGATGTCTCAAAATTTGTCACCCACCCATAAAATATTTTGTGCAAACCTAAACTCTATCTCAATTAACACTAATGTTTTTTAGGCATCATATAATAAAGTTTGGAAGCCATCTATGATTGCGGAAATGGAAGAATTGGAAAAGAACAAAACATGGAAGTTGGTCTATCTGCCAAGAGAAAATGGTTGGAAGCGGGATAAAGTGTACGGTAAATGGGTTAATTGAGAGATAAAAAAGCGAGATTGGTTGCTGAGTTTCACTCAAACCTATGGGATAGTGATATGATCTTGAAAAGTGTTTTGAATTTTCTTTCTAATTTTTATCTTTTAATTAAATATAAAAAATAATGATTCATATAATGGGAATTACATGCAACACAAGTGGATATTAGTATTAGTTATTGAGAATTAATGTGGAATGTAGAGGGGTCTTGTCTAATTTATCCTAGAAAAGGATACACTTGTAATACACATCATATATGAATTCTATCAGAAAAATTGAGTTTTCTCTTTGTGAGAATTTTTTTTGGGTGTTCTGCATTATAAGAACCCCAACTTTTTATCTTGTCAGGGTAATATGTGACAATCATCCCCGTGACTCACCTTCTCATCTCTCTTGAGTGTGGTGTCAATATCCTTTCCCAAATTGAAAATCATAACGGTCCTACCCCTGGTTTCTCATTAGATAGATTACTAAAAGACGTTTGCTCCAATTACAAACATGAATGTCGTTAGGGTAATATTATGTCTTGTACAATTATGGTCAAGAATTACAACAATTTACAAGACCTTGAGGAATAAATATATATGGAGGTCCCCACCAAGATATGAAACTTGATGTGAAGGATATGTTTTCATGCATGGAGAGATTGAGGAATAAATCTAAATGGAGGTCCCATCAAGATATGAAATTGTAAATTGTCGCCCATCATTTTATAAGTTAAAAAAATCCACTCGAGCATGGTTTGGGAGATTTTTTAAGACCATGACAACTTTAGGATACAAAGTCAGACAATTTATTCATCAAACACTCGTACTCAATTGGAGTGACTATCTTGTTAGTATGTGTAGAGGACATTATTTCTAATGATTGGAAAGAACAACTTCTGAATCAACATCTACCAAACGTGTTTGTGGTACTTGGATGGTTGAAATACTTTTATGGGGATTGAAGTGGCCTACTCCAAAAGAAATATTTTCATATGTTACCACAATAAGTCACTGATTTGCTTAAGGTGATAGGTTTGGAAACTTGTAAACCTACAAGTATTCCCATGGGTTAGAGCTTTAAATTGGGTAATGCAAATGGTAGTGTAGTAGTTGATAAAGAGATGCATAAACGTTTGGACCAAAAATTAATTCACTTGCCCCACACAAGGCCAAATATTGCATTTGTTGTTAATTTGGCTAGCCAATGCATGCACTGTCCAAGAGAGGTCAACTTCCAGACCACATACCTAATTTTATTGTTAGATGTTAAGTTGTGTATTTATGTTAATTGGGCTTAGCCCATTCTGTATTTAGGGTTTAACCCTTATCTTACATTATAAATAAACTACCCTATGTGT